TATATATATATATATATCAGGGGTTTTTTGGGTTGTTTTTTTGCTCTTTCAGACAACTGAAGCATACATTTCCCTAACATTTGTTACCTGTAGTTACCCACTTACGTTCTGCACGACTCTACCCAGATCAGCTGTTATTGGTTTTTTGTGGCGTTCCAAATGTGTGTCCCCAAAACGAAACTTGCAGAGTGCCTTCTGGTGGAAAAACTATGCAATGTGAACGTTCTTAAAATTGTTGATTATTATAAAATATTATTTATAAGCTGTTATAAATGCCGGTATTGTTAGATAGCCAATACCAGCTGATAATATTTGCCCGTCAATAAATCGGTCAGGCTCTACCAGAACAAATCACACAGGGACATGGAGAAGATGCAGATTCCACACAGATCAACCACAGCTAACCAGTCGATCTGGTCAGCTGTGGTTGATCTGTGGTTGATCACTGTGTGTTATCAGATAGGAGGTAGAGAAGTCTTTACAGGGACTTTACATCAATTTAAAAAATTACTAAAACTGAAATACTACAGTAGGTTTTACAGCAAAATCAATGTGCACATATCTCTACTTATCTATTCCAATACTTTAAATGGAAAGTGAATAAAACTACCAAAAAGTGTTGAATTGATGACATAAACATCATATGCCGTAAAAATAAGTTTATATGGAGAGTAAACCTGAGAAGATTGGAAGTGTACATCAATTAATAAAAGTTCTAAAACTATAACAATCCTTGGCTTTGATAGTCAGATTTATGGTTCCTGGTATGAGACAAGTTTGATTTACCGCTGACAAAATATAAAACATATTTCAGAATTTTCTACCTTTCAAATGTCAAATGCCAGCTTTCCATCACTTTGTCAATACTGTCTAACACCACCATATTTAAGTGAATTATGCATTTTGTTTTTGTACCCGAACAGTATCCAAGTTAAACTTTGAAAACGTATCTGATGACTGCCGGCTGGTGTGCAGACACAGCAAATTGCAGATTACGCTGTTAACCGAGATGGAGGAGCCAATTGATGTAATGAGGTGATAGAAACAGCTGATCCCTTACACGCCTCGTGTCAGCTGCCATCAGCTGCAATCACTGATGTTGGAAAACAATTGCTTCCGCAAAATTAGGCGATGCAGAGGCCTGATGTTCTTGTCTGTAACTGGTCTCCTCTTCTTCGTGACTGAATCTTCGCATGTGTGCCTGGTGAGGCAGAAAGCTGTAAACAAGCAGGAGCCATGGCAGGGAATATCCTGACGCTCTCTGTACAGCCCTGCTTGTTTGCCATTGTTCAACAAATATCCAATCTAATAAACGCAGACTGCTCTCCAAGCTCATATGTGCAGTCACATGCACAGGCCTTTGTTAGCACCAAAAGCTAACAGCAGCTGTCTCCATAACACCCATAGATACTATCAATAAAAAAAGGTAATTTGATTATACAAGTCACATATATCCTCTTTACCGAACACCTTTAGATAAAACTATTGTTTCCTCTAAGCGGCAGTGTTCAAAACCCTTCTTCTTCTGAGTGAGGCTGTCACACCACTTCACTAAAGTCTCTTATAAACAATGCACGACTGCTGACTCGTTAAGCCTCAGACACATCATGCATTGCTTGTAATAACAGGGGCTGTTGTAACTAATGACCACATACCTTAAACAACCTCCCAGTCTCCACACAGTCTGAAGCCACAGCCACAGCCTGGTACACTATTGTGACACTCTGTGGGCCATGACAATAACATCTAGCATAATGAGAGACATATGGTGTGATCAGCTGTGTGTGTGGCTGTGTCCAACTGCATGACTATGCAGGAGATGTTTGAGGTGAGGTGTCTCTGGGTGTACAACGTAGGCTGGTAGACGGCAAACATGTGGGAGAAGAGTTAGCAGAGAGAAATGTGAGACAGGGGTTATGAGCTCTAAGTTTAGACTATAACCCCCTGTTAACTCACTCACATGCCTGTGTGTCTGGGACGGAGAGAGCTCCCTGCAGGGAGATTCCCACAGTTACACAGAGACATTTGGATCCCTTAAACACACACTGTGGTGGATCACTGCAAAATGTGGTGGATAATTTCCACAGTTCATTACAGTCTGATTCTAAGAAGCCTTTGGATTGCCGCTTACTTGAGTTTTCTGACCTTTTGGAAGAATCTGTAACTATTTACTGTCAAACGATTAGTGAAACCGAGGAACTGAAATCACTACTTGGCAGCCACTGCTCATTCAAACGTTCAGAAAACTGTTTACCGTTTTCACTAGAGACTGACAACAGCCTCATGGTACAAAGTACAGCAGCGACTGCCCAACGGAATAAAGTTTATGACACCACGAAACTTAAAGATCAGCTAAAAGCACATTCTTACCTCTCTGTTGGTGCCAGCTCTGTCTTTTCAGTTCATTCCTGGTGTGCGTGGCAGAACGTATCTAATGAATGTACCGTGAGCGGTAACCGGTGAGCTGCGCGTCATGACAGCGGCTCAGTGTGCTGTCAATCTCCGCGGGTGAGAGCAAAGGAAACAACGAAAAAGTGTGGAAGTGAGTGAGAATGTGGGTGTATGCGTGGGTTTGTGTGCGTGCCTGTCGCTTCAAAGGCGATCCGAAACAGCGTGCCACTGACCGAGGAAGTTTTTTTCCCCTGTAACTCCTCCTACATTTACTTTGGGGCAGTCGTAGGGCCTCCTTTTCTCTCTCTCTCTCTCCCTGTTTCTTCCCCTCACTCACCCTCATGCATAAAAAACTTCCTCTTTCTGTCAGAATCTGGAAACAGGATCCCACAGAGGACTAAACCGAAAAGAGGTCAGGTTATAAATATATCCTCAATCTATCTTCTCAAAACTATTCAAACCTGTTGCACGATTACAACATTCTTCGTAGTTAGAGTACCAGATGCACAATAATAAATCCTTTCTCTCTTCCCATTCTACAACACCAGTCTCACCAGCTTGTCTTGATGCACCACTAATGATGACGTTTAGATGACTAAGTAATCACCTGCTTTGTTTTGGGT